TGGCCAGCCAGGGTTTCTGCAGCAGTCCAGTGCTACCAGGACACCTGGGAGGCAGCAGTTCTGTGAGCATGCATGGTAGCTGCTTTTACATGCACCTCTGGTTTGGATCCCACTTGTTGTCAAATTAAGTAGTAAATATCCCCCATAGGCCCCTAACATACCTCAGCAAATGAATACTAAAAATCTGAAAATGTCCCCAAATGATTTTAGAGAACATCTAAAATCCCTGGACATTTTTTTCTGATGATCTTTGTTTTGTTTGCTCCTCCTCAGTCATCATCCTTTGGGTAATGGAAGAAGCAAGGGGCTTAGTGATGCCCAAAGGCCATTACTAGTACTGGATGGAGGACTTATCCTTTTATACCCTTCCTTTAGCTTACTGGATTCCCTTTCATTATTTTTACTTTCCTGTATGGTCCCTCTTTTTCCCTTCTCATTTTCTGTTCCCAATAAATACCAGCTCAAAATATCAATTTTTTTTTAAATCAAAAATGAGGGCTTGCTTGCCAGAAGACAATACATTCTTAAAATACCTTGATCTACTCACATCTCCCCTAACAGTATCACAGGAGATGCTTTGTGTTAATTCATACGTTCAGACAGTAGCTATTTAAACAGCTTGGTTTAGAGTCTGAAGGCAAGGATAAGGAAGTTTTAAGCTTCAACTATTATTTCGGGCTCTTTACCCTATCCCTGTGTGAATGCAAAGGCACAAATGTGTTTCCTATGATTCTAACCCCCAGACGCAATATATGACTTTGTTTACAATGTAGGTTTTAATGGATATTAGTATAAATATTCCTTACTGACATGGTAATAAAGTTGAAGCTCCAGAGGTATAAAAATATACAGAGGGAGAAATATCCCCCAAACTTGTTATACTCTTGTTTTATCCATATCAACAAAAGGTGGGAGACATTTTCTAAGGGTCCCAAGGTACAAACCAGATTTACTTAAACTGTGAATCAGAATTCAGATGAGTTGTTTCATGAACAAATGTCAGGAACTACCTCATTTTCTTCTGCATAATCCTTGAGGGTAAAAGCTTCATCAATTATGAAGAATTTTAAACTTCTTCCAAAGCCCTATTGATAAACAAGCACCTAAATCAACTTGGTAAATGAACCTATTTTTAAAGAGCAAAAATAAGAGTGGCAGGAAAATGTCTGGGAAGATTTCCCGCCGAACAGTTAAGAGTCGTTACCTCCGGAGAGCAGAAAGGAAAGAACTATAGTCTTTGAATGGAGCTGCAGGCCTGCTGCAACTTCTATGTGCTCTAAAATTGCACCTCTCTCTAGGAGGATCAGGATTACAAGGCTATAATCCCCACACAGCCTGGAGTAACAGGTTTTCTGAATTGGGTTTGTCAGCTACAGATGTTTCGTTTTCCAAAAAGGTTATTTCAGTAAATGAACAATCTTTCATGCCAACGACCTTTTGTTTCTTCCTTCTCTCGGTCATTAGAATTCAGGAACAGAGCCTGTTCTCTTGGTGTGCACTGCTTGGAGGAGAATAAGACGTTTCGTGTTGGAAAAAGCTTGAAAGCTCTCATCCCTCCTGTCGTGGTTCTGGAGAGAGCTCTGACAGAAGAGGATGAGCAGAAACACGGATAAGTACTTGGAGACTCAAAAATTCAAGTACAAGAGCCTGGTAAAATGCTGCTTTTAATGTTAAGGCTAAAGATGGGTCAACATTTTCACAGTGGTCTTCTCTTAAGGTAAAAAGTCACCTGGCAATTTCCACATTATAAACTCCAGAGGCTTTGGCCTGTCTCTTCTCAGGGCCTCTTTGCAGCAACCAATGCTGTGGATGGAACTCTGACATGGAAACGCTCGTCTCTTGGCCTGCTTTGGCCTTATCGTCTTCGTTTCTACCTTTCCTACTTGTCTTTCTTTTTTTGTTAAATGGGGGTTCCCCAGGTTCCGTCTCGGGCTTTCTCTTCTCTCTCTACACATTCTCCCACCATTCTCTAACCCAATGGCTCCAATGGTCGTTCTGTGTGGTCAGTCACATTGAAAACCGTCATTTACTGAGTCCGGACATGTACATATCTCACTGAGCTTACAACACTTCTGTGAGCGATACAGCGGTTTCTCCATTTTGGGAAAGGAAGCAGAGGCTTAGGTAGGTTCCAAGACTCACCCATAATATCTAAGACCACCCACCAAATATGTAACAGAGCCCAGGTTTGACCTCTCTGTCTCTAGGGCTGATGGTGTTTCCACTACACCATTCTCCTAATCAATGACTCCTGGCACCAAGTCTCACTTCAAAATCAACAAGGCTTCTTCTCTGACCAGCTTCTCCTCCAAACAAAGAAACTTCTGAAAACTGACCCACCACCAGGCTCCCAATGGCAGGCGTCCTTGGCTCCCCTTGTTCTCTTCCACCTCCCTTGCTCCTCCCATGTCCCCCACCCCAATCCCATCCATCGCCAAATGCCATCTCTGACTTGATCTTTCCACTCTCCAGACCAGCCTGTGCACCACTGCCTATGTCCTAGGCCACATTATGTCCTGAGTTATAACCTTCAGTGGCTTCCCAGTGCAGATGACACTAAGTCCAAATGCCTACATTCATTAGTCAAAAGGCCAATCCACTTTTCCTGTCATACCTCTGTGGTCTTTCATATAAGTGGACAGTGTGCCAATGAATCTGGGCAGCTAACAAGCACCCAGTGTCTGATGTCTGAGCTCCCATTTTTATGCCTTTGTTCAGGAGGCTCCCTCTTACAGGAACCCACTCTTACCCAGCATTATCCTGCCCTGTCTGGTATATTGCCCGCATCACTCACGTGTGCACACACCCACACCAGTCCTCCTCTACCCTCCCAGGCAGATGTCATTCTGCATCTTCAAGCCTTCACAGATTTTTCTCTTACTAAGCTCTAAGTTCCTTGGCAGAGGGAGAATGTATCAGACTCTTCAGTGTATCACACAAATCTTTGAGTCCAAGGGACATAATAGGAGCCCAGTAAACATGTATTGGTTAAATTTACTCAAACTTTGATAAAATATGGCAACATGAGGTCACATTCTAAATGTAATGCATTTTACCCCCCAGCAAGGAGAAACAAAATGTTTCTCACAAAGAGATGAAGAATGTGCAAATAATGGTTACGAGTGCATATCCTTAAAATGGTTACCTTTTTTTCCCCTGATTTAGAAGGGAGGAGAGAGCAGAAAAACAAAAATGGAGAAAGAGAAACAATATTAGGTCTGTCAAGTAAAGAACATAGAGAAAACAACTTATAGTAGGATGCAAGTCAATAATAAAAAAGCATGAAAACTGCCGAGCTCTAAAAATTCAATTTACCTGTAACTCTCCTGTGACACATAAGTAGTGACAGGGAAAGTCTATTACTATACTAACTTGTACTTGTTAATACGTTACCCTCTGAAAAATGTTCTTTAGTTGCTCTCTATGTTGTAGTCTGTATTTTCATAAGAAGATGACAAGCTCCCAGAGGGAAGGATATAGAGCCACTATCACCAGCTCTCCTGACACCTGGGGATTCGTGCTTATAAATGTTTTCCTTAGGACCAAGCAGCAAGGAAGATCATGTTTTCTAAGGCCTCTTTCTCCAATAGCAAATACAATTTCTGCAGGATGATTTTTTTTTTTNTCCACATTATAAACTCCAGAGGCTTTGGCCTGTCTCTTCTCAGGGCCTCTTTGCAGCAACCGATGCTGTGGATGGAACTCTGACATGGAAACGCTCGTCTCTTGGCTTTGGACACACACTGCTCTCTGGGCCTGCTTTGGCCTTATCGTCTTCGTTTCTACCTTTCCTACTTGTCTTTCTTTTTTTTGTTAAATGGGGGTTCCCCAGGTTCCGTCTCGGGCTTTCTCTTCTCTCTCTACACTTTCTCCCACCATTCTCTAACCCAATGGCTCCAATGGTCGTTCTGTGTGGTCAGTCACATTGAAAACCATCATTTACTGAGTCCGGACATGTACATATCTCACTGAGCTTACAACACTCCTGTGAGCGATACAGCGGTTTCTCCATTTTGGGAAAAGAAGCAGAGGCTTAGGTGGGTTCCAAGACTCACCCATAATATCTAAGACCACCCACCAAATATGTAACAGAGCCCAGGTTTGACCTCTCTGTCTCTAGGGCTGATGGTGTTTCCACTACACCATTCTCCTAATCCATGACTCCTGGCACCAAGTCTCACTTCAAAATCAACAAGGCTTCTTCTCTGACCAGCTTCTCCTCCAAACAAAAAACTTCTAGAAACTGACCCACCACCAGGCTCCCAATGGCAGGCGTCCTTGGCTCCCCTTGTCCTCTTCAACCTCCCTTGCTCCTCCCATGTCCCCCACCCCAATCCCATCCATTGCCAAATGCCATCTCTGACTTGATCTTTCCACTCTCCAGACCAGCCTGTGCACCACTGCCT